CCAATAAGCCTAACCATCCTTAGATGGGGCCACGCAAGGATTACTGGGATGGGAATACCCGAGGCCGGAATAATTAATCCGGAAAGGCCTGCCGGAAGAGATCCGTCTTGACAGCCCTTTTGAAGCTGTCTAACGATGTCAACTGACGGATCTCATCTGACAGGTCGTTCCAGCGTCTAGGGGCGGCAACTGACCGCACCGGGTGGCACCCCAGAAGGGGCGGGGGTGACACTGGGTCAGCTGCTTGCCCTCCACCCCCTTGTGGGTGCTGCTTTGCCCCCCATAGGAGCTCCTTAGGGCCGCATGGGTGCTCCTTGAGGCCAAGTGGGGGCTCCTCCGGCCCACGCAGGCGCTCCCTGGAAACCATGCTGGAAGTCTCAGTGCCAGAAGTCTCATCCCCTGACAACTGGTGCGGGAATGCCATTGATCCACAGGGTCACCATGAATTGAGATTTACTCAAGGGTGGCTAACAACAACAAAGGTACTACCAGTCACACTTTTGCTTTATTCATATCATAAGCAAAACCATCAACAACAGCCTGGGCAATCTTGGACAAATTTCTTAGTTTATTATTAAGCTATTATTTTTCCTTATCCCTTTTTCAAACACCTAGAGTTCCACAGTGCTCCTGCAATTTTGTTATACTCTCCATTGTGACTGTAGAGTATATTTGTGAACATATAAGATTAGCAAGTAATTAAAGGAGGTTGAATTAATACATGTTTCTTTGAGAGAGACCAAAATTATGCATTTCCAGTAATTCAGCATAGATGCCTTTTGGAGAGATTGTAAGATAACTTACAATTTAATAACCAAATGCTTCCATTTGTTATAATGAAAGGTCATGCAGCCCCACAAAAAGGAGGCAGAGAGATCACTAGTTGAAATTGGCAGTGATTAATCAACTACAGGCTTAGTTGATGGATCCAATTCAACCAGTGAAAGTCAATAAGCCTGGTGATTAATTTATTATTTTTTAAAAAAACAACAACAAAAAACACTTTCAGTATTAATAGTCTGCAAGTCTTTATCATGGCATCCCTTTAGCAACATTATCTGAAACTAACAGCTTAAATCTCCACCAGGAGCAGCTCTTTTGGATCTTGTACAGTTAAGTGCAGTCACCTCCTGAATACTTTGAATTATAGTGCAGTTATTGCTGAGAAAATCCGTTTCTCCTCAACCTAGTACAGGAATTGCAACTAAACTCAGTGGAAACGGGAGCCGTGTTGTAACAGATAATGTCATAGTCTTTGCTATGAGAATTTTGTGTAGGATGAATGTAGGAGGCTAAACCCTCTTCAGGCAAAAGAGAAACTACTCT